AAGTAGTAGATATGCTAGAGTACAGGGCCAGGGTTCAGAGTGACCTGGATGAATTGGAGGATTGGGCCAAAAGAAATCTTACAAGGTGTTCAAGAAGGACAAGTACAAAGTCCTTGGGACAGAAGAATCTTAGGACAGAAGCCCTTAGGACAGAAGAATCCCATGCACTGGTATAGAAGTGTTGCCAGAAGATCAAGGGAAGCAATTATTCCCCTCTATTCAGCACTGGTGAGGCCACATGGAGTCCTGTGTCCAGTTTTGGGCCCCCACTACAGGAAGGATGTGGACAAGTTGGAGAGAGTCCAGCGGAGAGCAACGAAATGGTTCAGGGCCGAGAGACCTGGGCTGATTTAGTCTGTAGAAGAGAAGACTGAGTGGAGATTTGACAGGAGCCTTTAACTACCTGAAGGGGGTTGCCAGGAGGATGGTCTCAGTGGTAGCAGATGATGGAACAAGGAGCAATGATCTCAAGTTGCAGCAAGGGAAGTTTAGGTTGGATATTAAGAAAAACTTTCTCACTAGGAGGGTAGTAAAGCACTGGAACATGTTACCTAGAGAGGTGGTGCAATCTGCATCCTTGGAGGTTTTTAAGACCCAGCTCAACAAAGCCCTGGTTGGGATAATCTGGTTGGGGATACCCCTGCCTTGAGCAGGGGGTTGGACTGAGGTCCCTTCCAATCCTAACTTCCTAGGATTCTCTGCACAGTGCTGTTGAAACTAACTGCATTCACAGTCATTCTGACCCTGCCATAAAACTCAGATTCTTTGGTTTTCAAGAATCGGCTTACATGGAATAATAGAACAAAGAGGGTGTTAAATAGCTTTGTCAACAACTCTTAAAATGATAATCTAGATCGTGAGTGTGGTGGGCTGGAAACATCTCACAAAATTTACCATCGGTAGTAGTGTTTCCATTATTATCATATTTTGGTGGAAAAAAAAACAAGGGTTTTTCTTTCTTTTTTTCTTCACCATCTTTTATGTTCTTTTGGAAATCCAAATACGACAGCTTGGAGCCAGCGCACAAGGCCTGGAAAGCTGTTTTTCTTTTCCAAACTCAGTGAATTCTATAAGAGAAGCTCTGACAAGTGAATGGTTTTTTACACCTTTTCAGTTTTGAATAACCTAAAACTCTGTGACTTGGTTGGGGGAAAAAGAAATGTTACATGGAATCCTGTCTTCTGTTTGTTTTTATCAGGGAGTTGCAACCCGGTGTGAAATCGGTTCAGGTTGTGCTAAGGTAAGTCCGGATGACAGGGAATTAATTAAACCCATGAGGCAGTGCTCTGGGGGAGGGAACGCACGAGCACAGCATGGCAGCGGTGCCAGCTCTCTGTGGGCAGTAGCTGCTAAAATAACTATCGCTCTGAGCAAAGCCCTTGTTCCCAGGGATGGGACAAGTATCCACTTTGGCTCTCTGTTAGTTTGACCCTCTATCTTTTCTATCTGCCAGCTGAGTTGCTATGTTGATAGAAGATGCTGGTTATATCAAAGTCTGTTTCACAGCTGTGTACCGGGTCCTGGGGGGTGATTACTGGCTTGTTGATTTGGTGCGGATTGGTCCGGCTGGCAGCTGGCGAAGGTGGTAATATTTGGACACAGATAGAAGGGAGCTATTTAAAGGTGCCCCATTTCTTTCCAGAATCTGCTACACAGACACTAGCTCCCCTCAGGAGGATCAGTACCCTCCAAACATCGCAGTGAAAGTGAATCATAGTTACTGCTCGGTGCCGGTAAGTCAGCCCAGGCATGACAAGTTACTTTACAGCACAAAGAGAACTTGTGAGATTTAAATGGAAGCTGCTTGTTGATTAAAGCGAGAGAGGCGAGGCGCTAGGGTGCTAAAAGTATCTTGTTCTGACTTTTAAAGCTAATTGTGTGATGAATTTGGTTTATAGTTTAATAATGGCATGGTTGGGGGAAATGAAATGGCCTCTAATGTAAACAGGAGGTCAGGCGAGATAATTAAATAGTTCCCTCTGACCTTAAGCTCTCTGAAATCCTGTGAACCCATATTCTTGCCATGCTGCTGTGAAGGTCGGTATCTACCCTCTTGCTCTCTGCTGTGGCTGATCATAAGACGGAAGCAAAGCAATTAATTTTCTTTCCCCAGAAAAGACTTTAGGTGACTAGAATTTTGCAACACTGGTTAACAGAAGAGGTGTGTCCTTTTACTCAAAAAATGTAGGGGGGGCGGGGAGGGAATCGGATGCTACTATGGAAAAAAAAAGACTATCTCTCTGTCCCCTAGGGCTATTATCCATCAAACAAGCCAGGAGTGGAGCCAAAGAGGCCCTGTCGTCCCATTAACCTCACACATCTCCTGTACCTGTCTGGAGCAACCAATCGTATCACTGTCACCTGGGGGAATTATGGAAAGGTAAATGCCAAAGAGGGTGATTTGGGAATTAAGCCAGCATGTGGGGAGAGCATTCTTTCTCATCCTCTCACTTTTTTTTTGTCTCCAGAGTTATTCAGTGGGTCTGTACTTAGTGCGACAGTTGACTTCAGCAGAATTGCTGCAGAAGTTGAAAACTATTGGAGTCAAGCACCCAGAACTCTGCAAGACGCTCGGTGAGTGTGTGAGGCTGTTAAGAGACTGAATGACTGGTTACTTTTAGTCCATGTCACGTGCATTACGTCTTCCCTCCAACTGAAAAAAGCCAGTAGGTTGGGACACCACAAATTGTGAGAAACTGCCATGGTCTATAGGAGCTGCCTGTCCAATTCTGTGAAAAACCCACTTTCAAATCTGTGTGAATCTTCTACACTGTATGTCGAACACAGCGAATTTCCCTAGATCTCTGCAGAAATAACTTCTGTAGCATGTATTTTCCTGTGGCTCTGTAGAATCTATGACAGATTTAAAATTCATCCCTAGGTCATGTTGAGTGAGTTGCTGAGGGTCAATGTCATTCTTACGTGGGTGACTTCCTGCCTTCATCTGAATCATTTTAAGGCAAGAAACTGTGCCAGAGCTCCTCAGCCTTGATGTGCAGTCTTTCCAGTGGAGTGTTGTGGAGCAAACATCCATCCTGTGCAAATATTCTGCTGCCAGCCCCTGAGGAATTGTAGGGGCTGGAAGCAGTGTTTCATCACCACTCTTTTCAAATGCTATGATAGAGCTGATCCCCAAGAGATGCTTGTCGCAGACTATCCAGGTAAATTATTGTGGTATAAACCAAATGCAAAACCTTATTGTAAGTCTTAGGGGAAATAACCTCTCAAAGTGAAGGTCTTGCCTTTGGCTCCTAGGAGTCTGAGTAATTTACTTGAAATTGTTCAAAATTTCCAAATGACATAGGGAATAGTCTTAGCACTTAATACTTTACAAGAGGCCAATTTAATTTCATTGGCATAATTTTTAACTACTAATCACAGACCACTCCCGGGGCCCAGAAAATACAATCCCATGATCTATTAAATGTATAGGAGAAAACTGGGTGTTCTGCCTCACCAGCGCCTCAGATCTCACTAGCTATAGAGAATTGCTCTTCAAAGATTAAATCCACATTTCTTTGGCACACAGCAATGCTTTAACTAAACATCCATTTGTACGAATCTCTTTCGGACTATCTCTGTGTGCAAATACAGATTTTGTACTTTGTTCATCACTCTCAGCTCTGCCTAAGTATGGTGCAAATAGAAATGCTGAACTTCTCTAACAAGGTATTCTGGCTGAGACATTGGTTATTCAGGAAGAATTGTCAATGTGATTAGCAGTCCTACAGAACATCTGGCAATCTGAGTGTGAGGGGCAGGGGGACAAACAGCAAGTGGTTAAAAATCTTTGGCAGCCATTGGCTGATGCGAAAAGAAATTTCAGGTCAGCTTTGGCAGTTGGCTGTGCTCCCACTTCTACTCCCTAGTGGTACCTTCAGATGAATTGAGCAGAAGATGCAATTTTGGTTTTATGTCACAAGATGAATGCATTCAAGAGCCTATCATTTCCCTCTGACCCCCAACACTTTCCTCAGAACAAAGTTTTGGATAATACGAGTAGAACGTTGTGTCCTGTTACTTCCAGAAGAGTGTTTTGTCCTATTTTAGAGTAGCCAGCAGAGATTCTGCAAACAGGCCTCCTGCCTTCCACTTTTTTCCATTAAATCAGACTTGCACTTCAGGCTCTTACACAGTGATTCTCAACCAGGTTGCCAACAGATCCTTTTAAGGGCGCTATGCAATATTGGCATTGTTATGCATGCAGACATCTACACGTGATTAACAAGATGCACAGATTTCTGGTAGGATGCCATAATATCAAAAACTTTTATGACCTGTTGTGATCTTTGAGCTCTTTGGCAACAGAAGAATTGCTTTATTACGTTTCTGTGGTCAAAAAAGGAGTGAAAGCTGAGAGCTTTCGGAGGAGTGCTTTGAGTCTCAAAAGGTTGGGAACCACTGCTCTAATTGAACTTGGTTTCATTTAGGTGGCAAAGATGGATTATTTTTCTAAATCTTTACATTCATATTGGAGGCTCTTTGCCTTATTTCCTGGTCACGTTGCTTCTGCTTGCCTTAAACTCTTCTTTATGGCTCTCTGAATCTGGCAAAACCAAATATTGTATTTTCTGGCATACACGTGCCCCCATATTTCATCTGCACCTTGCTGAAAGCCAGAATGAAGGGGAAGATTTCTCCAGAGTCATGGCTGCATAGAGCAGGGGCACAGCCTGATCTTCAGCTGACTTGAGCTCCTTTTCCTGCATAAATAGAGTTGAATCCCTAGCTGATGCTGAAGACTGGTCTCCACAGGTAGGCCTATGATTTTGAAAAGAGAGATTAGAGGCTGTGAAAGGGACCAGGAGCAGCCAGCAAAATTCCCTCAAGTTTAACTTGATTAGTGGAACAAGACCATTAAAAAAGGAGTGAACATTGTTAACACCTGTAGCATGAGGAACAGCGAGCCATTAAGTCAATTGGCTCCCTCAGCTGCCCGACCAGTAATATCACAGCTGCTGCACAGTGGAGTCCAAATCTAATCCAAATGCTTCCAACCCCAGGCAGAAAGTCAGCTTTTCCATTTAACACATGCACCCCAGCTTTTTGAGGGTGATTTTTGCAGGACAAGGTGCATGAAGTATGCAAGAAACGGTAGCTTAAACCTTGCCGCTGTAGCTTTAACGATCGTTCCACAACGAGTTCCGGGTTCTGCTCATCTGTCTTCCAGTAAGCACTAATGCTTCAGCTTGACTCCCTTTGCTGACTTATCTTCCTTATGTGCATTCACTTAGGAACATTGTCTGAACATCAGGCTACGTAATCAGATACTGAACTGTGGATTTAAGAGCCAGGCTTAAGGCATCTGTTTTAAAAGCGAATCTTGGTTCTGGTTAATGGCTCCTTAGGAGGTCTCTTTCCTCCCCACCCCCATGACTCAGGAGTGGATGCACAGGGGCTGCTGTGACTGGACAAAATATGGGTTAACTCTTGGCAAAACATAATGTTTTAAATTGAGGATAATTTTAGTGTAGCTGAAATGGCACAAAAATACCCCATAAATTCTTACAGGTTAGTTGCATAACTGCCTTTCACCATAGAGCTGCTTGCTACAAAGCTGCCTTTAGAATCAATATCTAATTGCATTTTGTTGTGATCTGCAACAGTCAAAATGGGAAATCACTCCAGTGAGAGAGGCTGCAGGAAGGGTAATAGATCATTATAACAGCAGTGCTAATAGCTTCTATAACTGTGCTTATACAGTGGTGTATTTGGCCTCTGTTCTCCAGCACCCCTGATTTTTAAAAAGATGTTCCTCCAGAAAATGCCTCTGCAGTCACTGAGGCTAGAGCACAGTGAGAGAGCCTATCTGCAGCCCCATTAGTTTCTGACATCAGTTGGCTGCAACAGAATCTGAACTCCCTGTCTCTTGTCCTGATGTGCCGAGTCCTCTCAGATATAATCTGCCTGCTTCGTTAATGGCATTTTGGCTCAACCTCCCGCATTGCGTGCTCTGTGGATGGCCCGCTGGAGGAGCCTTTGTGCATACTTATGCCACAGCTGCGGCCCAGATGTGTACACAGGTTCTGGAGAAGGGAAGCTAGCTCAGCATGTTGGTCAGCTGCAGCACTGTGGCCCGCTAGCAGCTGAGACAGGCCAGTTCAGCTCAAGTGAGGCTGGGGAAGCTGAGTGGACTTGGCGCAGCATTTGCCTGTCTACAGTGATGATTTCTTCTGCACCTTAATTTGATCTCCTTTGAAAAGTAGTTGTGACCTTGACCCAATTGTCTTACAACGGTCCAGTCTCTGCCCTGGTCTCAGGATGGAGTGAGTTTACATCCCACTTGACCAGATATTTTAGGTTAACCCGATCTCAGAAATACAGTGCAGTTCTGTAATGCCTTTTGTCTGCGTCTTTCTCTCTGACTGCCGGTGTAACCAAACAAACAGAAGGAAGAGTGCATATCTTAGAGCAGTGCTTCCCAGACTTCCTCAGCATGGTGCCTCACTCCTGACCCACAGCCTCCCAGGTGCCCCAGAGCCAGGGCCTGCACCCCCCTATTCCTGCCAGCTCCCCCAGCAGCACCCAAGCCCCAGCTGCTGGAGCAGAACCCGTGGGGAGGAGGGGGAGGATGCAGGCGCCTCCTACCCAGCAGTGGGGGCACAACTCCATGCTGCTGCTGCTGCTGCATTTCACCTTGGCAGCCGTGACAGCGTAATGCTCCCTCCTGTGCTGGGTCCTGCCCGCTGAGCTGTGGAGGCAGCTTCTGCCTGAAGCTGGTCCAGCCCCGTTGCAGTCCTGCGCCCCACTGTGGGCTCAGAAATCTCATGACCCCAACCACTGATGTTGCGACCCCACTTGGGGTCGTGACCCACAGTTTAGAAACTGCTGTCTTGGAGCCTCCTAATTCTGTAGGGCAGGGGGACGAAGCTGAACACCAACTGTTGGTGACCCACACCTTAGCATGACTTTTACATTAGAGATATCTGCTTCCTTCTCGAGCATTTTTTTTCCTGTTGTCCCTGTCTATTTAGCCGAGAACCTTCTGGACCAGTGGTATCAAGAACTGCTCCATGAAATGGTGGCAAATGGCTCACAAATTACAGGTTGCAGTAGGTCTGGGTGCCTTGATGCACTTTTCCATTGTTTGATTTGCATTCTTAGTCATCTGTGAAAAATTTTGAGGGTTGACCATGGTCTATTGGTCCCAGAAAGCAAGACCTAGTCCAAGTCATCTCTCTGCCATCCTGTCCTTGCCTAGTAGCAATTACTCTCCGTGGTTGAAATGAATTTCCATCTTTTGGAGAATGTACCAGATATTCTTCTGGCATCAGCAGTTTTCCCCACGCATAATGGTCATGGTTAAATGGAGCTGCGTGTTAATTTTATCCTTTTTTGTGTTTCTGAATGCAGTAAAAGAGAAATTGCGCTTGGATCCAGACAGTGAAATCGCTACCACAGGTGTTCGAGTGTCACTCATTTGTCCAGTAAGTCTCACTGCAGTGCAATTCCAGCTACTAATACAAGATGTCCTGGTTTGTTACCCAAGCCACCGTTGCAGGATAATAAGTCTTTGCCTTTGCCAGTTGCCCCTTAAGCAGTTTCTTGCATATTAGCACCAAAACCATCTGTCTACACGCACATGTTCATTTTGGGAGGGGAAGGCTCTGATGTTGTGGTAGGATTTCTAATTGATCTGCCTGCCATTGGTCCCTTTAGCTGGTGAAGATGCGGCTTTCTGTCCCCTGTCGAGCCGAGACCTGTGCGCATCTGCAGTGCTTCGACGCAGTCTTTTACCTACAGATGAATGAGAAGAAGCCCACGTGGATGTGCCCTGTGTGTGACAAGCCAGCGCCCTATGACCAGCTAATAATTGATGGGTGAGTTTGCCTTCTTCCACCATCTCTTCACTCGCTTCTCTCCAGCCCTCTTCTCTTCCCCACTGTGATTTTATAATTTTTTTAGCTCTGTATCTGATCCAACACCACTTCTAAATGAAGTGTAAACATATTACAGTTCCAGTTGCTCTTAATTTGGGTGAGACAACACTGATACCAAAATTTGTGACTCAGACCTTGCTTGGTTTTATAGTTTCTCAACCAGCTTTCTGTAAACTGCTGCCAAAATAAAACTTGTGCCACCTTCTCATTCATATGCACTATCTGACTGGAGACTGACAAAACAAGGGTGCTTTACTTTACCATGAGCTATTGTTTATCATTTATAGTTCAGCAAAGTGAAACTTCTTTACATGCTGTTGTCAGGACAGATTGCCTTTCGCATGTATTCTTCTCCCATTCCTTCCTTATCATGCACGATGTTGGCACCCAACAAGCAGTTCTCAACATGTCATCAGTTTGGGTCAAATGATTCTAAATGCCAGTCTTTCACACGTGTATCTCTAGATGCAGAGCTAGCTCCTTTGAGATTGAGGTACAAATGCAGTTTTAAACCAGAGATCTCTGGTACATATTTGATGCTTCTGGTTCAAGCTGCGCAAGTGCAGTTTCTGTAGCTGCAGACTGGGAACTCCTTAAAGTACTCAATATTATTGTTCTGGCTGTTTCATTAGCTACCTATATAAGGAACAAGATAAAGGGTAGAAATCTTCCTGAAGGGGCAAGATTAAGATATTTCATCTACCTCACAAATACGCAGACTTTAGAAGATTCAGGGTTCTTGAAGTCTCACTTAAACCATATTTTCCCTGGCTTTTTTTTAATCATGATTTTTTTCCCCCTAACATCTATTTGAAACACTATTTACTTTCAGTCTTTGGCCTAGGTTAATTAAAAAAGCTTACGCTTCATTCTTTATTATCTGGTATCAGTCTAGATGCACAGGTAGGGCTCCTCCCTGCCAGTAGATGGAGACAGTACAACCAAAATACTTTCTGGAGCGTTCTGTGAATCAAAAGAACTTGTCTGTTTATGGTGCTGAGTAGCTTCTGCTTTTGAAAGGAGGAACAAGTACCCTTCCTGTTTGAATTGAGGGGTTTCATGTTAAGGGTTGGATCATTTTTGTTCTGACTACAGTAGTTGTTTTTCTGGATTTCTGAGAAGCTGTTTAAGCAAACAGTGAAGTTTTAGGTGTTTAGATCGATGACCCTCTAAACTGTACTTGTAACACCTGTGAGAAATCTGACAGCTGTCCCCAGACTCCCTTTCCTATGCCTACAATGCAGTAAGAGCCGGGTTACTAAAATGGAAACCTACAGATGCCTCTTTTTGGGCTGCAAACCAGCCAAATGAGTTTGGGTCACATTGTTAAAGTGGAAGAGGGAATGAGGGTTTCCAGAACCAGACTTGCAGACAGCCTCTGTAAATATAAATGGCCTCCAGGTGCATTTGGAAAGCAAGTGCTGAGAGTTGAACAGTGGTAAAAGAAGATGGAGTGAACCAGAAGAGTAACCTGGACTTAGAGACCAGGGACTTCAGAAAAAGAGATGGCCATTTCTTATAATGATAGTAGGCTGCTGGGGAAAAAAGTTCTTGTTGTCCCCTTTTCCCCTCCCCACCCATTGCCTGGTACAGCCTCTAACAGGAAGTGGTTGCATACATTATGGTGTCCCTAGAGATTTCAGCAGTAGCTTGGGAAATCCAGCATGTGGACTTGTAAAGAGCAAAGAAGGTAATATTTTATGCCTATTTCTCAGTCTATTAAGAGCATCTAATTTTATCCTAATGTGTTAATTTTGATGCATGTACACCAGTTATCCTGTGAGTTTTGTGCGTCTCATCATACGAATATTGTCTGGGCAGCAGCACAAAGGACTTGGGAAGTTAGACCTAGTGCACCAGATACCCTCCTAGCAACTATGTGGCTGAAACCAGACAGAAGTTATGCACCAGAATGAATGAGCACAGACAAAAGATTAAGAAGAGAGACACTGAAACACAAGTAGGAGAACATTTTTCACAGAAAACAGTCACTCACTGTCTGACCTCACAGTTCTTGTGCTCAAAGGAAACCTACCTGCACCCTTACAGGAGAAGCTTGAGACCTAAGTACCAGGGTTTTAACACCATAGACAGTGACTTCATGGCCAATTATAATCTACCTGATACAGGCCATCTGTAGATCCCAGGTGATAATGACCCTCCTGAACAACCTTGTTCCTCTTTTTATCAGGTTTTTATTGCCTCTCTCCTGCCTGTTGGCTGCCCAATTGCTCTTATCTCCCACATTTGTTTACATACTGAGTTTTACACAAGCTTTTGTTCAGTCTGCTGTTTGGTTCTGCTGCTCTCGGAGGCTTGAGGAGGGGTACTGTGATACCGAAAAACTTGCCTTTGTCTGTCACAAGTCCAATAAAAGAGATCACCTGCAAGAATTCTTGCCTCTAACATCCTGGAATTACAGTTTCAACATTCTGGAGGATCTGATGACCTGGTGAGGCGCAAGGACTTCAGCCTGGTCTTGATATTATGACTGAGCTGGTGTTTCAGTCCACTTGATTGAAAGCCTTCATCACAAAACCATCCACCTGCAGTAATTCTCTTCACTGTCAGCCTTGAGAGGCAAGGCACTGAATTGAGCATAGAGACTGCTCTCTCACTTGGACCCTGTCTTCTGCTTTATTATTTCAGCATATTGTCAGGGTGGAATGGTTTTGTGATGAAGGTTCACTGTTAGAACCTATACTATGGTTCCTTTATGGGAAAATAGGATTTTGTGACCAAGGAATGTTTTGTTTTTTAACCTTGCCCTGTCACCAAATTCCTCTTGGATTAAACTGTAGGGCCATGTAAGCTGAGGATCTAACTTAATGACATACTGCCACAGTGCTCTGCTGATTGCCTGAAGGTTAATAGATAGAGTCTTGTTTCCTTTCCAGGCTCTTGTCAAAGATACTGACAGAATGTGAGGATGCAGACGAAATAGAATACATGGCGGATGGTTCCTGGTGTCCAATAAGAGCTGAGAAGGAGAGAAGCTGCAGCCCTCAGTGTCCAATACTAGTACTAGGTACATATGGCATGGGGCAAAGGAGATTAATATGCTGAGCTCTAGGGAACTTGCACAAATGATTTTGTGATACAAAATTATGGGCCCCCAGCTTGCTAAGGGGTGCTTGATTAGTGTTGGAAACAGTAGGTCACCTGATTGAGTAAACAACCAGGCAGCCAATAGGGGTTTTTTTTCCTCTCTCCATACAAAGGAGTAAGTTGGCGTCACAGAGAAGTCCAATGCAACTGACCAGTAAGATGATCATTATGGACAGGGTCATTGAATCCTTTGAACAATTTCGTTCTCTAATGGTTTAACTACCAAGTCCAAGTGAATAGTTTAGGTATGGCTTCAAAGTGGTGCAGAACTAATTCTGGCATGCGTGCTTTTGGACCAAACACCAAACTATTCTAACTCATCTGACTGGGGGCAAGGGAGGATCCGATGTTCCACGAATGGGGATTTTGCCAGAACCTGCTTGTATATATCTGAGGGGTTTTTTCCCCTTTAACTGAAGGGCTTCATACACTTTTGCAAATGCTTCCCATTGGCGGTTTGAGCAGAAGATGATCAGATGAGCTTTTGGGGGTATCCTAGAAAGTATTTTACTATTTCATTGGTTTACAAAGATGCAGTGGACTTCACATGAAGTAGATCTTTCTTCATACCACTTTCCCTGAGGAATGGGTTCTTTCTGTCACTTCCCCAGAAACTGTATGGGGATGCAAGGCCTGCCAAGGGGTATTGGCTCTGGGGAGTATAACAGATGTTCTAATTGTGGTCCATTTATTTAACATATAATTCATAGATGTTCTAATTGAAGTCCATTTATTCCCAGGTTCCTCAGATGTGAACGGGCTCTTGCCCACTCCCAATAGTAATGGTGAAAATGGCAAGGTCACTGCTGATGTGGTGGATTTAACACTGGACAGCTCGTCATCAGAAGAGGAGGAGGAAGAAGACGAGGAGGAGGATGACGACGATGATGGACCCCAACCGAAACGACGCTGCTCTTACGAGAAAGATCTAGTTTCTGCCTGCTGACTGCGGAAGTAGCTCTGAATCTCTGAATGGACAGACTTGAATACTCTGGTGCTTACTAAACTGGAGGTGGGAGAGGACCTCTCACCTCATCTCCCTTCCTCCCTGGTCTCCTTTTGACTTTCCTATTCCGAGTTAACCATTAAAATGAAAAATAAAACCATTGAGCTGCTTCTTGGTTGAAAAACTGCCCCACTAAAAGCCTGACCTGAGCTCTGCCAGCTCAACCTGAACCAGAGTCTGAAGTAAGGAAAAGTGTCTTAAGCCAGGCAGTCAAGATCCAGAGCTAACTTGATCTCAACTGCCCTTCACCAGTACGGTTTGAATCGGTGGAGTTCACCTGAAAACCAACAGGACGTCTAACTCCAGTGCATCTCCAAAGCTGTGTGCATTTTTATTGTCTTGTTAAATAACCATTCCTGATAAAGTTTTGCTGGACATGTGAATGGGTGGGTTGGGGTGGGGAAGAGAAGGGGGGGGAGGTTGATAGAACCCCAGCAAAGTTAGATCTCCTTTCTTTCTTTTTTTTTTTTCTTTTTTTTTCTTGTTTTTTTTTTTTTTTTTTT